TTAAACGTGTGCGCTTAATTATCACTTCAAGCTGACACAGCTAATAGCCTACAAGTAAAAGCAGCTGAGACTCATTGGATGTCTTTCCAAAAGATAAGCAAAATCATTTGGATTTTTTAATAAGCACAACTAAAGATAAAGAGGTTCACTGGCTAGGCTGCGAACTATCCAACGTACACATCTATCGATGTTTGTGCCTTCAAGTGCAGAGACTGGTAGGACAGCCAAGTCTCCAACGTGCTCTTCATCGTGTAAGATATGCCGAACCTAAAAATCATAGCCATAATCCTTCGCAGGACGACTTTATTCTGACAAAAGCAACTATTTTTGAAATTAGAAGACTACCCAATTTTTCAACCAGTGTAATCAAAAGCACAATAACCACAAAAAAAAAACACCAGAAACGAACATGGTTAGAAATATGATAGTAAGAAATCAAAGATAAGATGTTTAATTGCTAAAAAAACATTTTAATTGGAACAAACCTACCTCTGCAGCCTCGGCTGAACCTTCAATTTCACTTTTATTCACCGCAACAAGTATTGGCATTTGCTGGACATACTCATTGGAGATCACTTCCCCTAGATAAGAGCAAATCAAAAAACAAATTAAGCCTACTAGTATCCAAACTCACTGAAAACACTAGAAACTTCTGCGAATAACTCCCGTTTTGTTGCGTCGACCACAAAAATCATGGCGTTTGCCTCATCATAATAGCTGCTCCACAGAGTTCGGAGATCTTCTTGACCACCCAAATCCCAGAAGTTCAGACATGTGTTATTGATTTCAACTTTTCCGACTTAAACAGAGCATAGAATACTATTAAAAACAGAAGTCTTTGGGGATAAATGAAGAACTTACTGTTTAACCCAACGGTGCTCGTTATTCTGGCCGGATTCAAAGCACCATAACCGTGTACGAAATGGGACTTGATCTGTTCCAGAAACGTCTGGAAAAGTATTAGATAGATTCTTAAGCTTCCACAAGTGAGACTCACCGTTTTTCCGACGTTGTCTAATCCCACGATTACAATGTAGTAGTCCCTCTTTTTGAAAAATCTTTCCCATAAGCCGGCTGAAAGGGTGTACATAGGAGAATTCGCAAGTTATTCCCTTCCAGCTACATAAACATTGAGGAAAATGGCAGAGATCTAAAAAAACTGATGATACATTGCGAAAGCATGTGCAGCAAAATTGATACAACGAGATCTTTAACTGTGAGCTATAACAGTAGAATGTCTAGAGCTGCAAAGATGGATATATGAAAACAGGAAAGATCAGTGCAGGATCGTTTCCGAACACCTCTAGTCCGCGAGCCATTTGTCAGCAATGGAGCACTTTGTGCACTGGCGAAACCAGTAGCCATAACCCATTGCTGTAAACTAAAACCTTCTGCGTGCAGAGCGAGGTCCTGTATTAGACCGCGAAAGAGTTGCAAAAAGAGGAACATGATCCATTCTGTACCGCATATGTAATATAGTCTGTTCTCTTTGGAGTGAGTCAACCGCGTTGCAGCATTGTCCGTGTTGCAGCAAGCGTCGCGTGTCTGCACAACTAGGCACAAAGCAGCATCAGCGGTTAATAAAGAGCGCTGCTCATATTGAATTGCACAAAGGTAGGTTGCAGGTGATTACGATTTAAAATGCGAAACACTTGTCAGATGTGATGTGGGACAAATCATGCTACGCTATGGGTTGCCTTTTTTGAGGTTTCTGTCCATTCCGCCCATGGCACAGATATGCATGTATTCTCACCGAAAGGCGTAAACAGATATGCATATTAATTTTAAAATTAGATATTCGCCATACAATTTACAACCAGAAACACTGTCCTACTGAGTAAATCTTTGATTGTAGTAGATTCTCCTTCCAAAAATTGCTCAGATTTGTTCCTTATTCAGAAGAGCAAGGACAAGCTGTCTCTACAAAACATATGTTTTCAATGCAAATTTTTTTTGAAAGAGAAAAAAAGCTTTCTATGAGACATCAGATCATTAGGAGCAGAAAGACCAACATGTGAACAAACTAGGTGAGTAAAATTCAGTCTCTGATCCCATGGAAATGAAAAGGGAGACCAAAACAACGTGGAAACGGTTGCGTGGCTCCGAAATTTCGTTGCCGTGAAGGAACGGTCCGCCTCCGGAATTAGCCAGATAGGTACGAGTTCACGTCATGCTCCAATCGCACTTTACATTAACTCGTCCTTCCAACATGGAAGCGCTTCCAAATGTTGTGAAAAGTTTGATTTAAATACTACAAAGTTTTTCGTTGAAGCATAGGTTTTTTTTTTAACGAAAAGTAGGCCCTTTGACCTGTACTCTTATCAAAGCGAACCAGGCCATGTTACTTCTTGAGATGGAATTCTTTTCCTATGCGACGTCATCATTCATTTATCTGTGCTCTCACCACCGAGTTTGCGTTTCTATACTTCTTTGGGGAACTAAAGTCAT